ATAGAGAAAGGGGGTATGGGGGTTATGGAGGGGTCGTTGGCTGCGAGGGGTAAGCGCGATGGGGTGTCCACGGGTGAAGGTGGGCCGTCTTTGTTTTCGTCCTTCCGGAGTGCATTCACGCGCGTCGAGCGAACGTGGAAGGGCCTTTTTGTGGCTTCGGGAGCTTCATAATGACACGCCAGGACAGGCATGGCGGTCGCACCTGTCGCCGTCGTCGTTCCATTTTCCCGCCACGTGGACGCGACGTCGTGGACGGTCCATCTGCTACTTTCATCCCAGTGGTGCGCATCCGGAGCCGCATAAATGTCGTCCGCACGAGGGTGAGTCCACCACCGAAGCCCGCCACACCAGCTGCACACTTCCCGCCACGCATCTACAGTAGCACAATGCTTTTCACCGGGGATAATTGTGGCCTCCTCCACGCTTCCATGTCCACAGCCTTCGAGGACCACCGCCGTCACCATTGCAGCCATCTCGTGACGTGGACGTCGGCCGTCACAACGCAGGCAGCGGGCCGCTCTCACAACATCGTCCACGAAACCAAAGAGTACTTTGTCGCCATCGCCAGCGGCCTTCCGCCACCTGACCTTCCACTGAGCGTTGTCCTCCCCAAATCTAGCACAAGGGTGGCGAGGATCGCCGACCAATCACAGCTCCAACAAGCGATCTCCCGTGCGGCGGCGGTGGAGAATATAGCTCTGCGCATCTTGCACGGCTGGGTTTTCAAGTCCGGGAACTGCCCAAGGGGGTACCACCTTGCTTTCCAGTACTCGTTGGAGTCCGTAGTGACGGACATTGCGTGTGCAATGTGGTACGGCGAGGAGTGGTGCAACGTCGTCAGCGCGACGATCCGCGCCCACACGATAGATCTGAACATGAACCTTCCACTGTGGTACGCCGGCGCGAATATCGAGGACAGACCTGAGGACGACAACATGGCGGCGCACCAGGAGTCCACCGTCATCCGCATCGTGCATTCATTCCGCGCGGCGGTGCAAATGGGCGCTCACATCGACGGCGATTTCATCTCCTACGAGCGTCTATGTAGGGTGGCTGACTGCTTCAGGCTGTTGCTGGCGGCGTCCATGTGGATAATGCGCATGGCGGGAGACGATCCGTGCAGCCACTACGAAGCATTTTACTTCGATCTCGTCGCCAGGCCGACACTAGTCACCTCCATGCATCGCTCCTTCGATCATCGACGATCTGTTGTCCGCACCACGAACGTCGTCACAGAGAGGCTTGGGAAGGCGAAAGCCACACTCGGAGTGTGCCTCGACTACATCCCTGATTGGGCACCATGCGGCATCGGATTTGCGCACGAAGCGAGCATCAAGGGGCCGGAGGATGCAAAGAGGCTGGATTGGTTGGGTCCGGGCCCCCCCGATGATGGCAACAAAGGCGAAGGAAAAGGCTGTCGTGTGATTGGACTGTCGTGCGTGGCGCACCTGTTTAGCGTGTCCGCCGCCGGGATTCGCCAGAATCCTCCTTCATCATTGTGCACAGGTTTACTGTGGCGCCCGTGGCATAAGCACGGGTTGATCGATTTCGATTGTGTAATTGTAGTTTCGGTGGTTACCTTGTTGGCCGGAGGGATTCGCTAGAATCTTCGATGGTTGCGTAGCTGTGTAGTGTGTCGCCCAGCACAAGATCGCTGTTGTGCACCTTTTTTTTTACTTTTTTTTTTTTTTTGCGTTTAGCGCACCTGGTTGTTTTATCAGTGCATGCTACTCCTCGTTGTTTCGGGCGATTTAAACCGCATGGCGGTTAATTGGTGTATTCGTTTTGATGATGTGTGTCATGATTTTGTCATATGTTGGTGTGAGGTATGTCATCATGTCTTTTGTTGTAGGACACAACTGTCGTGCGTGTCATGCAGTGTCCTTGTCTGCGTTTCATTTGTTCTTGTTCTTCACATTGGCTTCACGACATGCAAGAGACATGCGTTGATCATGGATTCACGGAATGCCTGTCAAGATTCTACAGAAGCAGGTTGCACATGTCATCCCACCACACCATCACACGAAACCGGTCATGAAAACTGAAATGAAGATACGCACGAAAAACCAATAAACATAAACAATAATTTATACAGATGGACAGCGAAAAAAGACAAAAACAACCAAGCTTCCCACCGCACGAGACCGTTGATTAGAAACGAAACACAGGTCGTAATTACAAGGACACACACTGACAAAAAAAAAGGTTCTTCCAATCTTAAAAGCTCGCACAACTGTGCGAACCAGGTAGTTGTCAACACCATGAAAACGATAATGTGAACTCATCGGCGACAACCATGCCGCCATTCCATCGACCCACCAAGTACGCGCACGACGACCATGGACAGGGACCACGTCATAACTCCAGCCGCCTACCGATCGAACCACCCCATGTGCACCACCCCATGTGCTACAACCCCCCCCCCCCCCCCCCCCCCCCCCCCCCCCCCCCCCCCCCCCCCCCCCCCCCCCCCCCCCCCCCCCCCCCCAACCGCACGATCCTACATCAAAGCTAGGCGGTCTCGCAGTACATCCCTCAACAATTCTCCTTCCACGTTTGTGCACCGTCCCCCCCAGCGTGCGCCGTTCCCCACAATGCCCAAGTCCACTCTACGCCAAACGCCGTTCGCATCCACCTCCCACAGAAGGTTCTCATCGAAGACGATCCCCGCGTCCAGGAGGATATTGTGGAGAGTGTAGACAACCACGAATTGTTGTGGCAACGTCTCCAGGTTCGTCTTATGGGTGCACAAGAACAGACGCCACATGCACTTGAGTCGGCCGAATGCCCTCTCCACACACCCCCGTGCCACCTTTTGCCGAGTGTCAAAGCACTCCTCGTCAGCACCTTGGTCGATTCCTCCATACGGCTGCACGATCCATGGACAGGCAACTGGATAACCATTGTCGCCCAGCAGGTGGCCTCGCGTGACGACACCGTGCAGCAGATTCTTCGGAGTTGCGTCGAACAGCTCGCCACTTTCTGCACGCCTCCACAACTGGGAATTGTGCAGGACACGGACGTCGTGCACACTTCCCGGGTATCCTACGTGGACGTCAAGGATCCACAGATCCAAATCCACAACCACCTGCGCCTGCACGGAGAACTTTTGTTTGTTGTCGTAGTAGTTATCGGAAGGTGCGCGGGCGGGCTTGCCAATGTAGATGTGTGTATAGTCGATAGCGCCGAAGCAGTTTGGGAAACCCTTGTCATGAAAAGCGCGCTGAATCTGCGCACGTCTCCTTCCCATTGGCCACTTTATCGCGTCGGGGTACGCTTGCAGCAGCGCCGAAGTGACGTACAGACGGCCTGCAGTCCAGTTGCCCTGCCGATGCCGAAGGCTGACGTGCCGCTCTCGTACGTCTCTCCGGACGCCCACCTGTATAACTCGAAAGCAACCACTTGCTCCACTGTCAATGACTTTCGATAGTGCGTCACCTTCTTCTCCATGTACACGACGCATGCGGCTACGATCTGGGTGAACATGGCCGTCGACATGTGCAGCTTCTGCCGGTAGTACTCGTCCATCGCGTCATCACGAAGCCGGAGGTCCTCCCATGTTCCGCCAGTCCATCGTCTAATCCACCACCGCGGAGTCTGCCGTGGGAAAATGCCAGACGACAGCGCGGCACACCACTGGATGACTGCCTCACACGTCGCCACGTAATCCGGCGCCTCGGCAACGCTCTGCAACAGCACTCTTCGTTGGTGGAGCCGCATCACCATGTCGTGCGAGGAGGACTCCATGTCGCCCATCGTGTTCACGACGACAGCAGTCACTGCCATCGCCACGACGTCGATCTCTTCTTCGCGAAGATCATTTGGGCAGCCGTGACTGTCCATCTCTGGCAATCTTCGCATGGTTTGCCGCGTCACGCCTGCGACAGCCGCCTCAGACACTTCCGCTGAGGAACCCTGCCGTAGTAGACAAAGCACGCCGGAGCTGAAGATGTGAACGCTGCTGTACGCTTGCACAGGAGACGAAGACGCGCCCGCTGCTCCACGCTTCTGAAGGACGGTACGCACGCCGTAGGTGAACGTGCGCCTCACACGATGATGCGCCCGCTGCTCACAAGTTGCGTACACTCGGGAGATGGATTCCGCGCGCCGAACGGTAGGGAGGCGCCGTCTTTTTCACGTCACACACGTCGCCTGGCCGCCCGCCGCCCAGCCACCCTGCGTCCACGAGAATTTGAATTCGAAATTTTGAAGTTCTGAGGAACCGCGCTTTTCACCGATCCGTCGACGCCCGCCCAAGGGCCACCGCAGTCTGCACCACGGACACCGGCCAGGAATGGACGGACATCGGCGACGCGGCTGCGTATACACGTATGAAAACGGGCCGCGGGAAACCTTTTAGGACGAGTCCAAAAGATGATTTTTAGGACTGCGTGTAACGATGCCGAAATCCTAAAAAACCTTTAGGACTCGTCCTAAAAATTTTAGGATTCGTTTAGGAGTGTCTAACGAGACCCTTAGATAGAGTTAGGGCGAGATCCCACTGGCAAAGAGGATCGGAATAAGTGTCTGAATCTGGACGTGTTCTACTCAGAGATGCAGAAAAGCAAATCAAGCACAATATGTTGCAATCCTCTTTGCTAGTGGGATCTCACCCTTTGCTGTTATTACAGCCAGCTGCCTTTGGAATTCGGCCATGGGCCGCTCAGGGATTTCCCCTGCAAGCTGAGCTCACTGCTCAGCAATGGGCCTCTCAGAGTCTCAGTACCCCGGGGGCCAAGTCCCACTAGCAGCGTGGAGTTTCCTCAAAGCCCGAATCTGGACGCGTTTGTGGACAGGTGCAGATGAGGAAACTCAACTCGATTTTCTGCACATCTCAACCATAACGCCCAGATTCGGGCGTTGAGGAAACTCAGCGCTGCGAGTGGGACTTGGGCCCGGGTTGAGTTCTGAGCCCCCCAGCCTCGATATTTGAATTTTTTTTTTTTCGCCTCAAAATTCAACGATATTTGAATTTGCAATGTATTGAGGTGATTTCTTTTTATTTATTTTTTTCCATTGACTCAGAGGTGATTTTCGAAAAAAAAGAAGGAAAAAAGAAGAAAAAAAACTGAGCAGAATACATAGTACACCTCGGGCGAGGTCCCACTAGCAAAGAGGATTGGATTGAACACCTGAATCTGGACGCGTTTGTGGAAAGGTGCACAAACGCGAGATTGAATTGCTTCTCTGCATGTGTGGCTAAAACGCATCCAGATTCAGATGTTCCATCCAATCCTCTTTGCTAGTGGGACCTAGCCCCTGGGGCACGGTCCTACTACCTAGCAAGGAGGATTGGGTTGGACACCCGAGTCTGAGGAGACTGGGGGTGTGTTGTGACGAGGGGCCGAAAATCCGGATTTAACTGCTTTTAATTACTGTATCTCTGCGTAGAACACGTCCAGATTCAGGAGCTTAATCCAATCCTACTTGCTAGTGGGACCTTGCCCCTGATCTTAGAGAGAAGAAGAACTGTCCGGCAAAGACAGCAGGAGCATGACAACACAGACACAGGAAGGCAAATAAATAAATAGTTAAAATAAATAATAAATAATTAAAAAAAGAGCGCAGAGACAAATGATACACCAAGATTAAAATAAAAAAAAATAAAAACCACCAAGCACAACACTCCCTTATGCACGCAGTTTCTCGGCCTTTTGGGTAAGATCAAGTGTAGTATCTGTTCTGATCAGTTTAATATCTGATCCGTTTATAGAAAACAGTGAAGCTTCGAAAACGAGCCGCGTGGAAACAATTTTAGTGAATTGCCTTGAGCACTTTCGAGATTTGCGGTTTATAGCTCCTAGTTCTTTGCCATTAGTGTTTCTATATTTTAGTGAATTGCCTTGTGCACTTTCAAGATTTGCGGTTTATAGCTCGTAGTTCTTTGCCATTAGTGTTTCGATATTAGAAACATGCCTGTGTTTTCCTGAGTAGCAAGGAAGTAGAAGGTCTGGGGTACGGAGTGATCCGTACGCTGTTCTGGCGATGTGGTATGCTGTGAGATGTAATCTTCAACTACATTGTCCTTATTTTTTCAAATTCTTTCAAATTAAATTCTGTGTTTTCCTGAGTAGCAAGGATATTGTACTGCCAATGTCTGCCATAGATTTGCTTTGCATTTTTTTTTTCTTTTTGGAGATTCCTTCAAGGGACACTGGACCCAGTTTCCAGGAGCCTAAGCTGAGTATGACCTTAGCAAGTTTGTACAGGGTTGATATGTAGGGGTGTGTTCCCGGGCCCCCGTGGTCTCATTTGGAATGAAAAGGGCTATGTTTCTCCAAAAAAAAAAAAGAAAAACAAGCCGCGCAACCAAACCATCTTAGGGCGAGGTCCGACTAGCAAACAGGATTGGATTCAGCTCCTGAATCTGGACCCGTTTTGAGAAGAGATGCAGAAAAGCCCTTGAATCTTGATTTTCTGCATCTTTCCAAACCTCTAGATTCACGTGCTCAATCCAATTCTCTTTCCTAGTGCGATCTATAGCCCTTAGCCTTTTTTTTTTTTTTTTTCCAAAGGGGTAACTAGTACGCTGGAGTCACAAAAACGAGTTATAATTACACTATGGGCCAAGATACAGTTTGCAATTGCACTTCGGGCACCCTACCTGGCCACAAAGCTAGGTTGTATACATTGCCTGAACTGCTATTCGAAACTGTATCTCGGCCCATAGTGCAATTATAACTCGTTTTTGTGACTCCCAAGTAGTGTCCCCTTTTTGAAAACATCACAACTCTCCTTTTTTGCGGCCAATACCCCGCCGCGTTTCTTTCGTCTACCCCGCACACAGATTCTTCAGGGCCGAGGTCCGACTAGCAAAAAGGATAGGATCAAGCTCCTGAATCTGGATGTGTTCTAAGCACAGATGCCGAAAAGCAGTTCAATCTCGATTTCCTGCACATCTCCATAAACTCGTTCAGATTCAGGCATTCGATCCGATCCTCTTTGCTAGTGGGACCACACCCCGGGGGGGAAGATATTGCCACTGAGCGAAGCTCAGAACCCATCACTGAATTTTGTTCGTAATTGAATTCTTGAATCATTTTGAATCCTCTGTAGAATCTTAGCATTTCAGTCAATACTCATATAAGAAGTAGTATAGCAAGTCCTTTGGGCTAGTGGAACACACACTTCAGGTGCCCCTGGGTGAAGAGGCCAGTTAGCTTGCTGTATTCGAAGACTATATTATGCTGTATGGGACGCTGCACCCGGTTTCCAGCAGGTGCAGCTCCCCACGAATAGAATGGAGCCATCGTACCTGGGCCGTCTTCTATCTTCAGGGGTGTGGTCCCATTAGCAGTCAGATAGGAATGTGGCCGATCCAGTGGGACACTGAGTGGCAGCGGCCTGACAGGTTCATTACAAATTTCTGGGGTGATAAAACTGGAGAAAGGCAAAAAAAAAGAAAAAGAAACAGAGACCTCCCACCTGAAATCACCGCAGAGTGCTTCCCAGCCATCAGATCACAAATGATCTGATGGTGGTGGTTGCAACAACAGTGCAGAAAGTAACTGCCACATTTTCTGGAATAAACTCAACTTCTGTCAGCAGTGATCCTGACGCCCTCCATATAATCCGTGATTGAAGGAGGGCTCCACCCAATGAGATAATTGCACAACAGCAAGTAAAATGCTGAAAATCTTTTATCCAGTGGGCTAAGGCCGACCCCAACCTCGTTTGGGGTTGGCCACACCCCCAACAGATTGAAAAGATTCTGGCGGGAAGCTGTCTTTGCACCGACATGCCCAGTGTTAAGGAGAGGACGAGGGGAACCAAGATCTCCTTACTTTTTCAGGTAATACATGTAAAATACTGACCGTGGGATCACCAGTACTGCACGGCAGGATTTGGGTCACTTAACTGCCACACAAACTCTTTTCTATCCTATCCGGTTGCTAGTGGGACCATGCCCCAGGGGCTCTTAACACCCTGGAGGCAGAAAACTGGGCTCGAGCCTATGTTGAACTAAATAATAATAATAATAATAATAATAATAATAATAATAATAATAATAATAATAAAAATCATCACTGCACTGTGACTTAGAGGCCATTCTTTTTTCTTTAGAGGGCTTTCCTAGTGCCTTGCCTCTTTATATACTTACCCTAAAGCTACCTTCCTCCTACAATCACGAACAGAGGGGGGGAGGGGGGGGGAGGAAGGGGTAACTTAGGGCATACTCACAATAGGGGTCTAATTCTTAAAATCGCAAAATCTGATGTCGTTTTGCAGTCACACTTCCCCCCGGCCCCAAGCAAAATCTCAAATAGTGTAGTATTTGTCAGCGGCCTGCTGGGCCGTGGGGTTCAGCAAATTGCGAGGACCTTTAGAGGTCCTCGCAAATTGGCATTTGATTTTCTTATTAAAAAAAAAAAAAAAAAAAACTAGGACCTCCGCAGGCCACAAAACGGAACTTCTTGCTCACTATCGTTCAAAACTGCTACGTTCTGTTAAAAAAAAAGAATGCTACGTTCTGTCTCCAGCCGGAAAGTCATACAACGGCTGTACTATCTTTGGCGTTATGCACAGCAGATTGCCCATCTGGAAGGGGTTTGTCCCTAGTGGCGGAGTCCCTTGCCCCCCCCAGGTGAGTTCCATACCCACTTGCGCTGCCCTTCCGCCCGTTTGTCCCCTGTTCCCGCATGCAGATAGTCTGGCCCTCCGGAAGAATAGTCAGGCCCTCCGCGAGAATAGAAGCACTTTCCGCGGGGCCTCCCCCCTACTTCCTGGTCTCCGTGCTCCCACTGCACTCCCGCCGCACCCAGTCTTGCAAGTGGTCCACTTTCATAGGTGCATAGCACCTGGTCATTTGGTATCAGGGTGGTCACACAGCTGATAGCAGATGGTGGATTTTTTCTTATTGGGTTTTATGTT